GAAAAAAAAATTCAGATTCATCCAAGCTGTCTGACAGAATGAATCAGAAAACATGTTTACTTACTAGCAGTCTAGAAACAGGAGAATAAGAATACAAAAGCAGCAACTTAACAATGCTCAACCTGATTTTTCATCTCAGCAGGGATAACCAACTCATGTTCCTTTCCGTTAGCTGCTTTCAAAAAACTCTCAACACAAAGCAAACACAGATATAAAAACGAAAAGCTGCCTTTAAATTTATCTCAGAAGACACGAGATTCCTTTTCCTGCTATAATGATTAAATTTCAACCCAAAGCCCAACAGAATAACCCACCAAGGCAATAAACAGCCCAAAGTTTTAAAGATTCCACAGAATTTCTATTCCAATACTTATTTATACCAAAACATGTATAAGGCCCATTCCAGAGGCTCTAGGCAGCAAGAAATCAAAAATCCCAGTAAAATGCAATCAGTAAAACTAATCAAAATAGTATAAAAAGGCAGCCCGTAACCGCTTGTATCATCCAAGCACTCCAAGGTAAAGAACAGTCATAAGAGCCTTACAGAAGGCAAGCAGGCAGGCCCACCACAAATGTTTGGGGATTAGCAATTCCGTAAGGTAAGACGGTGCCACCGAGAAGGACTGCCCCCAGATGCCCATGCAAACCTTCATAGCCCCTCTTGGGACAAGCACCAGGACAGGTGAAACCTGGCCCAAAGATACAGGCCGTCATATGCCCTTTATACATTAACTAATTTCCTACATGCTAATTAGATGCCCTGCAGCAGCCTCCCAAAACATACACACACAGACACACACGTATACTTGTCATTTAGTTTTATGCTACAAATAATACGCATGACAAAAGCTATCCAACTGTTTTCCACTCCACATCTTCAAAGTCAGGACACTTTTAGTATAATGAACCATTCCTCTCTTCACATCAGAAGGCAGCACAGGAAGTCTCTCTCCATTTTTAGCATTTTAAGAAATTCAGCTTTTTTGTAGAGAAGGCACATGCACTAATTGCTTCACAGGAAATGCATAAGCCTCTGTGTGCATTGCGGAGGAAAATTTAATCAGGGCCACATGTTCCTGTGTCTACAAGGCATTTGCTGCGCCCATGAAGAACCCGGTCTGGCACGGAATCTGGCCATTTCATGTTATTTTTTATTTTGTTTTCTTTTCCAAGGGTACAATCTCAGGCAATCTCACTTGAAATCAAACCTCACAGAATGAGATTTTCTCCAGAGTTGGCTTACATAGGATTGGGCTAAAGCTCTGCAGTGAAAATGTGGAATTCAGGCATAGACAGTATTTGGGGAAGGAAGAAGAGAAATCTGGTGACAATTCAGAAGCCAAGTAGGACAGTATTTCTATAATGGGTTTTCCCTGGAAAGTGTGCCCACTACAATTGCAAACCCAACTCCCCCACTATTTCCTAAGAAATATTATCCTACCCTCAGTAGAGATTGTTTTCTTTGAAACCACAATCTCAACTAGCAATGCTAGTAAAACATACCAACTTGTTAAAAAAAAAAAAATCACACACTAGGAAGTCAGTACATAAGGTTCCAACAGACCAAGAATGGCTCTGCAGCTGCAGTTCCAGACAAAGAAGGCAGAAGATAAACTGAGCCTTGAAAATCTGAAAAGTGCTCTCTAGCACATAAACGCTCACATCTGATTGCTGGAATGCTCCTCACCTGACAGAGAACTCATCCAAATTTCAGGAAACTATCCTCATAAGCCCCACTTCAGTATGGAACCTCAGCTTAGATTTGGAGTTCACCACCACTCCTAAACCTCTTGTTAATGAGAATTATATCAGAACAAAAAGCCTTCTTTACGCTTCCTTGTTGTATTTTTCTCTTCACTGAAAATACTTTTTCTCTAACAAGTAAATCAAAATGGAATCTTCTACCACAGTATGGTGAAGATGATGAAGGTGTCAATGACGTTAACAGGCTTTGTGGCTACATTTTAGAATTTACTCCTCCTTTTGACTATTAAAATATTTGCAGTTTGCAAAATTTCTTTGGACCTAGCTCTCTTAGCTATTTATATGTTTCTACCAGCTACCTATTTCTCACTGGCCACAACATCCTCCTTCAAAAAGGAATCTCATGGTAGATCAGTGCTAAGAGTGGGCTTACTCTTAGCACTGATCTACAGGCTTCAGTTTGAAGTCTGATCATGGTTTTCTCCTAATTCACCCATATCCACTTTAAGGTTTTATAGAGGGGCTGTTCAAAGCAAGCTCATTCGCGGCTGCCAGAACAAGCAGAAAACCGCTATTTAGCCATGACCCTCAAAAAGGAAGTGGCGTCTGTCTTTTTATGTCTAAGATCTACGAGGTCTTTTCCCCTGCTCAATCAAAGAAATAAGAAGAGCCCCTGCAAGATGAAAAATTTCTGATCTTTCCTGGGCCTTCCAGGTGCCTGGTAGGTCTGAAATAACCTGGGACTTCAAAATCAAGCTGACAGGCCAGCTTTTCCAGGCCTGCTTCTTGCTTCCACTTACACAAGGACCTAAGTCAACCAGATCCAACCTTGGTTTGCCTGGTCATGACTGGCAACTAAGAACTCTAAAAACTAAGAGTAGGGAGCACTGAAGCTGAATAGGATTTATTTACAAGGTAAATTAATCTCTTGGTGCAGCCCCCTCCCCCAGGTACTTTCCCCGGTCTGGTTTGAAATTCAGGTGAGCTAGCTTTGCTCAGTTGTCCCTCCTCCCGCCAAGAGGGATGAGTTCTTTGCTGCTGTTCCTGGGACGGTTGACTGAAAGGTTACGAAAAGTTTTGTGGCAGGAAGGCATGTACTCCAGGCACGAGAAGGCATGGACAGAACGAAAAGAAGCCAATGATTTCACTAAGCAGAAGCAGTGGCAAAACAAAGGGCAGAAACAAAAAACAGCTATACACAGATGCAAGCGTGTGACTAGAGTTTTTAAAGTTTTCTGAACACAACACATATCAAATACCTTTCACCAATTTATCTTCTATGGCAAAGCTAAGGTAAAAGCCGACGTTTTGAGACCTTAATTATAAGAATAAATTTATCTGTATTCTGTTAATATACTATTTACAATATACTCAATTGTCTTACAAGTCCTTGACATTTCCGGACACCCAGTAATCAAGAACTTGAGTTTTTTCCAAGCCCTCAAACAAGTCAAGGGCAATTTTAATAAATGTTAAAACACAGATTTTTAGAGTTCCCGTTCACTGCTCATTGCAACAGTACACATTTCCTGCAGCACTAACCTGTTTCTCTGCATTTTGTAGGAGATAGGAAGGGATGCAAGGAGATAAGCCACGGGGCACCTTGAGATGGGGAGAGGATGGAGGCAGTGCTTTATTTTTTCTGGAGTTCATCACTGCTGGAGAGGCAAGTCGACTCTGCTGTTTCAGCCCATCTTCATGCTGGAGACTGCCCAGGATAACTGGGCCCTGGGCAAGGAAAGGGATTATTTAGAAGCTCTTCTACGTGAATGAATGTCTATCGAAGGCAGCTGATACAGACACACAAAATCTACAAAGTTATGAATTTGTTCTGCCTGAAGTAGGATGGTACAAACCTAATCATTCTGGAGATTACTCAAAATCGTTACTAATGCTAGATGGTTACATCACTGCATGAACACTTGGTGGGGTGCCTCAGGGCTCTAGTCTGTCCCTGCTTTAATATCTACAAGCTGCTCAGTGAGCTCATTCTTCAGCAGGGGGTGAAATACCATCAGGACCCAGCTGTATATCTCTCTGCCCCAAGCAATCAGGTAATACTGTCAAGGTCCTTTGCCAGCCATGGGGTGGGGGGTGATGGGGAAGAACAGGCTTTGACTTAATCTTAGCAAGAATGAGCAACTATGGGCTTGGGGCCCCTCCTAACTCGGAACTGGGTATTTTCCATCGTTGGTTCTGGAGGAACCAACACTCCCCTACTCAAAATCAGAGAAGGTGGTAGCTGTGGCCAGGAGGGCTTTCGCACAACTCCAACTTATACATCAATTGCACCTGTTCCTGGATTGGGAGGCCTGGCTTGCAGTCACTCACAGGTTAGATTACTGCTGTTGCTCACATGTTGGACACGTGTTGCAGTCATTCCCAGTTTAACTACTGTAGGATGCAGTACATGGAACCAGCCTTGAAGACCATCCAGAAGCTGCAATTGGTCCAGAATGTAGAGACACTGGTAGTTACAGATGCACCACAGTACCTCCGTGTAATAATATTACTCTGCGAGGTGCGCTAGCTCCTAGTAGGCTTCCGGGTGCAATTCAAGGTGCTGGTTACATGGCAAAGGACCAGGTTCTTGCAAGACCACCTATGCAGCTCTTTCTGCCTATCCTACATGCTCTCTTGCGCAGGCATGCTCCAGGTCCCCTTCTTGAGGCAATATCATTTGATAGGACCAAAGAGGTGTGTCCTTTCTGCCCCCCTTTCCCCAGATTTGGATAGCCCTACCTCTGTTAGCCTTCTGGACAACTTTAAAAAGTTAACTTTCCCTCCGGATGTTGACCCAGGATCATTGTTGATGTTGTATGGTTTTTTATTTGCAATATTGGTTATGGGGGCTTTTATCTGATGTACAAAACCAGGAAACACAATTATGCAAGTTGGACAACTACAGAAATCTTATAAATACACAAAAAATAATGTGATTACAATTTCAACTGAGTTCTTATTTTTAACTTTTTTTCCTTCTATATCCTGCAGCATATGCTAACAGGACTTGGCAATTTCATTCCAACTTTTGTGGGACAACTTCAACAATTACAAAAACAAAGGAGAAACATTACTCCTAATTAAGAACACTGACTGGCAATCGCTAGCACTCCCACAAATGTAAAATAAACTCTCAGGACTATTTTGCAGGAGCAAAGAAAAGATCTTTGCAAGCCAATTGCTACTATGCTCCAGGAGGTCGGAAATTGGCCGCATAATGTTGTTGTCCTCCTCTCAAAGGCAGAATCAAGTGCTCCGCCCCCACCCCCCAGCACATTACTACATGCATACAAAAGCTACATGCGTGTTATGGACAAAATGTTTAGAACTCTCTCTTGGAAAACTGGCCCTTGACCCTAGTTGAACATAAGAAGTTGCCTCACGCTGAGACATGCCCACTGGTCTTTCTAGCCTTTCCAGTGGCAAGAAATCTTCCGTCTCCCCAGGCAGCGCTTCTTTCTGCAAATCATATGCTCTGCTTTATTAGCCCCAAGTAAATAAAGCTCTATTTTTTTCTTTGATTCACTAACATTAAAAAAAAGCCTCAGAGGCTTTGTTCATACAATATGCTGAACCATGAACACAGGCTCAGAAAACACAATGGCTGTGTTCACTAACATGCAGGGTGCCAATATATACCAACGAACATGATCCGGATCACACAACATACTAAGACGCTGGCGTGATTCCCAGAACCTGCTAAGCTTCAAACTACTTAATTCCGGTTTGGCCTAGCCTAGTGTGCTGTGCAAACACAGACAATGAAAGAAAAAATTCAAAACAGAAATGAGTCTAACCACCATCTTTGATTCTAGGTAATAAAGTTTGGCATAAAATAATAAGACACATTAACCATTTTGTCTAAATAAATGGCACACCCCCTAGAGAACATATTAGTGTTCTCACAATACACTAATAAAATATGCTTCACCTATCATATTTGTATTATTTATTCTATTTGTATATTCAGTAGATTATATCAATAGATTCACAGCAGTTTACAGAACAATTGACAAAAACATCCATGGTAAATAGAAATAAATTAAAACAACCAATAAATACAAGTAGTGCATAAAATATAATGATAATGAGATTATTATTTAAAACTACTAAACATCTATGATAAATAGAATAAATTAAAAGAACCAATAAACTAAACAAAGTTACAAAAATACAAGTAAAAATGACAATGAAAGTATTATTTAAAAATAACAGTTGAGTTCACCTAGTCGCTCATTGAGTGAGATGGGAGGTGACTAAATTTGAAATATAAATAAATAAAGCTCAACCACAAACCAGCAAATGACATGAAGGCTTGACACAAGGCATGAATCCAGCCTGTGGGGCTTAAATTCTGGCAAGTGGAATTCTCACTCATTCACCTGGCATCTCTTTCCCACATCCACTAAGTTTCATACCAGGGAGAAGGTACTGCCAGAATCCTGTCAAGGGCTTTAAAGAATCTTTGGTTTACTGTGTTCCTAATAAGTTGCATATAAATTATAATTAAAATCAGCCATACAGGGATAAATTTTACCTTCCCAGCAGGTGGGAATCTGCAAAAATATTTTCCCTTGACTTCCTGTACTTTTATATTTATCTAGAATAAATACTGCTGCAGTCAGTGGATGTCCTTAACCCCAGAAAAAGACAAATTCCAATTATAAAAATGTCTTGGGTTTCTTAGGGGAGGAGGAGGGTGGCCTGACATAGTTTCCAATGATCCCAGATCACAGGTTTCTCCTTCAGCACTAACACATGAAACATTCATGTGTCAAGTCTTATATCCAGCATGTAACTAATACAGAAATCATATTCCTTTAGTCGCTTTCATGGTGGAATTTTAACTCACAGCTGACATGAAAACTCAAGGCCCACCACTATGTATACAATAAACCATATGGGCCCTAATTTACAGCATGCATAAGGCTTTGGGCTGTAAAACTATAATCCAAATCCACAAATATCCATGGGTGTCTTAGAAAACTTTGTGGCCTGGTCCATACAACATGCTAAGCTGCAATATCCATGTTTGGCTTTAGCTTATAAGATCAGACACTCCAGTTTGTAAACCTGGGCTCATCAACTATAGCTTAATTCAATAAACCAGGGTTAAGCACAGCATGCTTATAACAACCATGATGTTGTGTACTATCCTCCCCAGAAAAGTCTAAAACTCTAGAAAAGTATTTATATCTGTATCTATATCTACGTGTGCGTGTGCGTGTGTGTGTATAAAGATTCTTATGGAAAGAAATTAAGCTGCCCTACCTTGCTGGCACGAAGTTGCTTGTAAACATCAGTCTGCTGCCTTATGCGATATTCCAAGTCCAAAACCTGAGCCTGCAGCCATGTCCACCGACAGATAATGGCTGCTCTCTCTACTGCCCACTGGCGCTCTGCCAGCTGTCGCCTGAAACATAAGCATTGGCACGCTGGTAGTACCATCTTCTCACACTTCAGTGCATAAGAGTCAAAATGATAAAAAACGTAAGAGATATACATAAGCATATACAAACCAGTACTTCTTCAAGGTTTAATTGGGTTTTTGCCACTTATTAAAAACATGTAGTCACTAGGATTACATAATTTGAAACACAAATTACGTTTAAGCACGTAAAGCATAAAATTCCCATTTCCTTGGTGAAGCAAAACAAACAAGCAGCTACTTATCACTAATGGCACATTAAATTATCCATTAATTCTCCACAGCAGAAAGTGGCACAGTTTGGACACCTTTAAAAAGCAGTTTGAGAAATTCACGAAAAAGCCTATCAAGACTAAAATCCTTACATAAGCAGCAGCCTATCTAGTTTACTGCATTGTAGCACTTCCCAGACATAATGTTCAGTGATGAGCAGAATCCCCTGCCCAGTGCGCGCACACACAGAGTCCCACTGTCTAGCTTTTCCCACGACGAGCTGCAGCTGCAGTCATCCCTTGACAAGCAGCACATGCCTCAGACGGGAGCATACCATCACAGCAAGTACATTGCTCAGCATACCCCATTTTCAGAGAACGAGGAACAGGTGGCTACTTTAGTGTGAAGTTATCCAAATGCTACTGGATGGACCTGAAAACTGGTACCTTCTTTTCAAACCTCCTCCTCTTTTAAGCTACTTTTAGAGTAACATAGAACTCCAAATAAAAATCTCAGTATGTACAAATAAAGGGTTATTGCTTCAGTAGATGCCATAGTAGCTTCAATAACCTATTCTACTGTAGGAGTTTCTCCACTGCCAGCCCACTTTACAAGCAAACGACTTGATATATCTGTGCAATACTTGTGTTTATTGACGAGAATGTCATCATGGTATGATGGTATCTCACTAACCTGAGACAGACTGGATCTGATTAGTACTTGGTGGGGAAACTACCAGGAAACTCCAGGGCTGTAGTTTCAAGTGGGAAGCTAGGGAAAAAAGGCAATGGCCAACCTTCTATGTATTTTTGTTCATCAAACTGCATGGATGTGTTCATTGAGTCACTAACAGTCAAGCTCCATCAAGGGCATCTTTACTTTTACCACAGAATAAAAAATGTGTCCCCATCACACACGCGCGCACATACACATGTCATCTTCAGTGCAAGTATAGCAACTTTCTCATTGAAGAGCATCAAGCAAACACATCAAAATGGAGTAATGTCTGGAATGAAGTTTAATGTTGGACTGAAAGTCACATGAACAGAGACTGTTTCTGTATACTTTTAAATTTGCTGCTGCTGATATACAGGTGAAACTCGAAAAATTAGAATATCGTGCAAATGTTCATTTATGTCAGTAAGGCAACTCAGAAGGTGAAAC